TGCACACTATAAAAAAATAGGTTTCAAACACCAAGATTTCAAAATATGTGGTTTAACTAAAATAGGATTTATACTCCAGCCCTTTAAAGGGTGCAATGCAAATAAAATAGGTTTTAATCACCATCACTTAAATAAAATAGGTTTTAAGCACCATGACCTCAAAAATATACAATATAACTAAAATAGGTTTTCTACACCATCACTTCAAAGGGTGCAATGTAAGTAAATAGGGTATAGGCACCTTTACTTCAAAATAGGTAATAAAAATAAAATATGCTTTAAGCACCATAACTGCAAAATAAACAGATTAAATAAAACAGGTTTTATACACCATCACTTCAATAGGAGCAATTTAGGGTTTAAACTCCATTACTTAGACACCATCACTTCAAAATATATTCATTAATCAATTTAACCAATAAATCAGGTTGTGTATTTCCCTATTTATCAAAAAGAATAATAAAATAAAAATAGGTTTCATGCACCATAATATAAATTTGTGTTTATCCCAATAAAAATATTTTTCAACCAAAATATAGGCTTTATGCACCATATCATAAATTAACTTATAGGAAGAGATTAAAGAGTTTTATCAACCACTCCTTATCTAAACAAAAAGAGAAAAAGAAAAAGAAAAAAAAATTTCAGCTGCCATCTTCTTATTCACTTCTGAGATCTTTCGCCACCATTTATAGCTTGCTTCAGGTAAGAAAAGAAAAGATCTTGCGTTTTACTCAGCCTGCGTCATCTTGCTGCTTTTCAAAATTGGGGTGTGCTTCAATCTCCGTTATTTCGGCTTCAGTCAGTTCCACATGGAGTTTTTTCAATAGTGTAAGTCCCGTTTTCAAATCTGAAGCTTGAAACAAAGATCCATCTTTATAAACTGTGACGTTGGAAGTAGCACTCCATCTGAATCTGATCTTAGCCTCTAGTAGTTTTGCAGTGATGATTTTCAAGAGCTTTCTTTTTTCCAAACTCTCAGGAGGGAGATCCAACAAGACCAGTATTTTTCGTCCCCTGTGCATTAGGGAGTTGTTTTTCCTCGCTTCCTTAAGAAGCCTGTCCCTGAAGGCTGCATGCACAAATTGTACCAGGATATCCCGAGGTCTGTTCTGGCGAGCCATCGCTAATGGTCCCAGTCTTTGTGCCTTTGCAATTACTGGGAGCACCCCCTCTTCCAATTTCATAGACTCATTCAGCCAAGAGGATATAAAGACCGAAAGATCGCTTGCGTCTTTCTCCGCTCCCTCTTCTATCCCTCTTAGTTTAACATTAAATTGCCGCCATCTTTGCTCAAGCGACGTAAGTTTGATCTGCATCGTTTTTTCAGATCTTTTTAAGGTGTTTAGTTCTACCTGTAACGTTTCCGTTGCTTCCAGCGCCGATTCTGCCGCTCTGCAAGCTGCTCCAAGCCCTTCTGTTAGTTCTTCTAGTTTATTTTGAACCGGCTGGAGGTGCTCCGCCATCGATTCTTTGAAAAAGCGTTGGATGTCAGCTTTTAAGTCAAGTAGGTCTTTCTTTAGTAGCGGTTCTTCAGTAGTTGTTGTGGAATCCGTTGCGGCCGCCATTTTAGAAAGTTCTGATGCCTGTGGTGTCTGCGGCGTGTCTTTGTGAAAATAAGCTTCCACCGAAGCCGAATTCTTCTTAGTTGAAGGCGTTTTATTTCCTTTCAGTTTGCCCATACCTTTAGAGGCGCTTGACCTTGTTTTTAAAAGATTTTAAAGCCAGGGGAGGAAGGGTCGGTCGGGAGCAGCAGAATCACGCGTCCGCCATCTTGCGACGCTCGGCTCCGCCCCCCCAAGAACCACAGTTCTATACCCTTTGTCTATACCTTGCTGGTTCAGTATGGCCCACTGGGACTAAGAGAGACAGAGTCACAGGGATTGACTAGGATTTCTCTTTCTGGTGGCACCTGGGTTCTGGCCACTGTGTGACAAAGGATGGGCCTTTGGCCTGATCCACCATGGATTCTCTTACGTTCTTATTTTCTTCCCCCACCTTTCAGTATAGAGATATCTGAGAATTCTAGAGTGAACCTTTCTCTGCTTAGCATTCAGAAGGAATTGTGTAAAAATACATAGGAGATAATACAGCTTGAGTGGACCCCAGAAGTCAACTCCCCCATAGCTAGTGTCCTTTGGCAACCCTTAGAGAGTGTGGTCCTTGAAGAAGCATTCAAAAAAGGCCAAGGTACATCCCCAGATACCTCCGTCTGCCTCCAAACGCCTCAGCATCATCTACTATATCTACTATTAGACTAGATCTAATGGGTGGAAATTACAAGGAAGTCGTTACTGGCTAAATATCAGGAGAAACTTTCTAACTGTAAGAGTGGTTGAGCAGTGGAACAGACTGCCTCGGGAGGTGGTGGATGCTCCTTCGCTGGATGTTTTCAAGCAGAGGCTGGACGACCATCTTTCGGGTATGTTGTAGGTATGTAGGGCTATCTTTCGGCTATGCTCCTGCAGAGTGCAGGGGGTTGGACTAGATGACCTGCAAGGTCCCTTCCAACTCTTAACAGTCTATGATTCTATGTAGTCGGCTCAAGAATTTTGGGTCCTCCTGGAACTATATGAGTCCACTCCATGGTGCTTGCATGACAAGTTGGAGTATGATATTGTAATACAGCAGGAGTGAGACACTTTGAAATTTTTTGGGACTTTACTTACCTGCACTTTTGTGACTTTTTTCTGTATTAGTGTTGTAAGAATACCTAGGTTTCATCCAGTCATACTAAGAGTGAACTAGGCATTAAATAGTGTGTGTATTTCACCAGGGGAAAGATGGAAGCCCTTTCTCTGTGCAAACCCAGCCCTGATTCACATGCAGCAACTGAGGATAACATGCAGCTCATGTCTGGCTTTTACGTCTGACTGTAGATAGGGCCCCCAGTCCTAACCTGTTTACTTTGTAATGTTTGAATGCAATTGAGCTTGTCCAATAGCTGTCCCAAGTGAAAAACATATGCCTACTACGTTAGTTATGGATGTGTACAGATGTGTGGTAATTCCTACTTTCCCCTTTAAATACATAAGATGAGTGCATACTTGCTCTGTCTGGATTTTATATGGAAATATTTAAACCTGATTTTAATGTAATGTAAGGTTCAAAGTACATAGGATGCTGGAATTCTGTGACTACAACTTCTGATGTGTTTTTGGCCCACGTTAGCCTGATTTCATCAGATCTCAGAAGGAAGCCAGGGAGGGTCGACCCTGATTAGTACCTGGATGGGAGACCACAAAGGAAGTTCAGGGTTGCTATTAGGGTTGGGCACAAACAGTTCGTGGTGTGCCCAGTTCACGAACCATGAACCGTCACACACTTTTAGCCACCAAACAAACCAGTTCAGTTCATGAAGGTCATGATGTGGTAGAAAGCCCCCCCAGTGTGCTAGAGACACAAAACTTGTAGGAATACTCCAGTTGCCTCTCCTCTACCTGCCCTCCAGGTTTGGTGAGGATTGGATTTACAGGATCTGAGTTGTGCCCCACCCAAAGAAGGTGCCCCCAGGAACGTGCTTTCTAGGGGAATGGCAGGCGATCAGGATGGTCAGGAGTCTATAGAATGGATCCTGTGCAAGTAGAGACATCAAAGTCACAGAGGACCTCCCCTGGATGCTCTTCTACATGCCTTCCAAGTTCTGCCACCCTGTTGTTTTGAAGTCTGGTAAACATTTAGATTGAGGGGAGACGGTCTGTCTGGAAAGGTATCCATTCACAAACCACCATGAACCTCTACGAACCGCTGTGAACAGCTTGAAAGTTCATGGAAATTTTGAGCCCCTTGACCTGCCACAAACTTGACTGCGATTTTTTTTGGTTAAATATAATTAAGAAAATTAAAGAAATAACTAGTGTAGACTTACCTCATGCTCCTGAAGTTTTTCTGCTAGAAAGATGGCCTAAACCTAGAAAAGAAAGGCAGAAAGAAGAATTAGTAGTAAATATCTAATAGCAATAGCACGTATTCTCATTGCTTTTAGATGGTTAGATAAAAAGCCCCCGTCACTTACTCAATGATATAACTGCATATGGGAACATTTTATAATGCAAAAAGTTTCAGTCAATTTAGCAAATGCAGCTCCTGAAAACTATTTTTTAAAAGTTGTTGCAATATGGTACCCTTTTATAAATTATATATGTTAGAAAAAGAAATTATTCCAGATAATCCGCAGTATAAAAAAAAGATATATTTTTGAGACATATATTTGTGTTTAAAGTGGGTTATGTTGTTATTTGTTAAGTTGAAGTAATATTTGTACTGGATAAAGTTATATTGCTTATAAGCAAAGTTGTAACATTTCAAAAAATTATTAATAAAAAAACTCCTTGACTTTGCGAAGCATGAACTGGCCAAAATTCATCACGAACTTTAGTTCATGAGCCGGTTCATGCCCATCCCTAGTAGCTATGCATTGCCTTGAAAATCTGCAAGATTTAATGGCACTTTCCACCACCAGGTTTAGATGAAATTTTAGGGAAACCTTCTAAAGCCGACTCAGCACCAGAACAAACTGCCTCAGGAATTTGTAAGGTCCTTCTTAGAGCCAAACAGCACGTTACTATTTTTTATGCATTTTCATCGTGCTTTCAGCTGCCGGGAAAGCACATGAAAATGTGTGGGAAAGGTAATGTGTAGTTTGGCTCTTTCTGCTCCATAAGAAAAGTTTGCAGAGTGATTCCATTGACAACTGTTCTTTCTTGCAAAGTGGGTGAGAAGGGTTGGTTGAAAACGTCGGCCCGCAGCCCTAAGGCAGCTTCCAGCCTTTGCAGCCAGATGTTTGGCACTCCCTGAAGATTCCAGGCATTGTGAAATAAAGTAGAACTGTTGCTCCTGTATGAGTTCTCAGAGGAGGCTCCAGAGAGCAGAGCACTTTTAAATTATGCATTTGCATAGCTGTTTTGGGAGATGAATCGATCTTACTGGAAGCCGATATCACAGTGACAGGGGCTTGCTGGCAGTGCCGTTTGCAACCTGGCAATTCTGTGTCTTTGCAGACTAGAGGCTGCACTTTGGCAGCACTGGGGGCAAGCAAGCTCCTGAAGAGCCTGGCTAAGGTCAAAAATGACATCAACGCTGCTGGGGAATCGGAGGAACTGGCAAACGAGTATGAGACCAGAGCTGTGGGTAAGTTCCACTACAGGAGGCTCCAAGCCCATAGGAGATGTAATGCAAATGCACATAGAGGAGGCTGTGACTGATCAAGATTTAATTTAAACATCTAGCTTTGAATTCAGTACCAGCGTGAAAAGATGCCGGCATCCATGATCTCAGTGCCAACAACGTTGGGAGCCCCTTGCCTCCTCACACATTATGGGAACCCCATGCCTCTTCACACATTATGAAGTACATGGGGTGTGTCTGAATCCCCACCCTGTGTATGACGAATAGAAAGCTGTTTTGGGACATGAATCCCAAATAGCCAATAGAAAGCTGTTACCGGGATAGATCTCTAAATGGCAAGCTGTCAACTACTTTAGTTGACAGTTCTCAGCTGCTGCAAGTTAATCACTGCCGCCAGCCCAAGCAACAATTCTGATAACAAGCCGGCAGGTGGGAGTGATGACTCCTGTAGTCCAGAATGCTAACACTTAGACAGAAAAACTCTCTTAAAGGAGACCAGTTTCATGACACAGAGTTAGAAGGGATCCTAGAGGTCACCTACTCCAACCCCTTTGCTCAGTGCAGGAATTAGTCAACTACTCCACTCTGCTTAAAGGAGTGCACGTCTTTTAAAAAATGTTTTTAAATGGTTGAAAAAAGTGTTTACAGGAGAAATTCTTGTGGGGCTGTGCCTTCAAGAAAGGGGGTGGATCTCCCAAAAGCTTCACCATAGCTATGGTCCTGCACCCGGTGCTATTTCCCCAGCCTGAAACAGTCCCAAAGATATGTTCCTGAGCCTATTGGGGAAACCCACATGTATCCTAGGGAGCATGTCAGTTTCTCCAGATAGCATTCCCTAGGACTGTTTCAGACTGGGAAAGGCTGAAGCCTGTTCTTCAGGTGTACCACGGTTCTGATCCTAAGGTGGCTGGAGGAGAAAGGGACTGTACTGAAGGGAAAAGGGGGCCCGGTTATAGTTTTTTTTGCCCAGGGCCCCCAAACACCTGTAACAGGCCCTGGATACAAAAATAATGAAAACAGTTTTTCTTTCCAGGTAGAGTTATATTGTGTAGTGGGTTGACCGCGTGGCTAGGCCCACTCAGCTCCCATAACATGGTGCACGCTTGACTCTTACACAACTAAGACAAAGACAAACGGCCAGGAGGCCAACTATATACATATCCAGGGGACACCCCTGGATCCCATTGGGAGGTTCGAACTTCCCTCCCCGTTTCTATTGGCTCCCCGTTGGAGAGACCAAGAGACCAGTTCCCATTGTCCACCCAGGGTCAAGCCCTGGGTACTCGCTGGCCCCTGGTGGCGGCCAGCGGACACAACATCCCTCCCCCCATGGTTCGCGCCCCCCCCTATGTCACATAGTCCTTTAGGTACGCCGGTTAAAAGATAAGAGATTATTTGGGGATTTACTTTCTGTATGGATTTTGTCACTTTTTAAAAGAGCTGTTCACAGAATGCTACAGCAGTGATGAAGATCTGGCTGAACAACTGCTTGTCTATTCGTGTGAGGCTTGGGGTGGCAGCAATTGTCTGGAACTTGCCGTGGAGGCGAAGGACCAGCAGTTCATTGCCCAGCCAGGAGTCCAGGTAAAACAGCAGAGGGAAAGGGCAGGTCGCCAAGATGGGTAGATTTCATTCAGTGACATTGGATCAATATTCCCTCTAGTGGCATCTAAGTGGTAATGGAAAAATACTGTTTTTAAGATGGAAAATTTGGACTGCAAACTTCGCACTTGTGTTAGGGTATGCCTTCCAGGAATGTTCCAGAGAGTAAGGCCCAAACTAAACACGCAGGGTCACCCGGTCATCTTTGCTCCCCAGCAGGGGGTGGGAGTGAGCTATCCTGGAGTGCAGGGGCGGGGCAACATTGCCATGTGCAATGGTCACTAGCATTATGATGTCACTTCCCCGTGATGTCATCACTCTGGGGATGTTGTGCTGGGTGGTGTGTTTGGGGCGGGGCTTCCCCCTGCTGGCCGGCGGTGGATTGTAGCCCACCAAATTGGGGGATCCTCAGCTCGCACCTGGGGGCCGGCAACTCTATAAACATGTCATGGTAGCCTGATAGGACCCTTAAATGTGACAAGTTGTATCTGGTAGGAATGACCAGGAACAGAGAAGCGGCAGGAGGGAACAGCCACAAATTTTGCGTGTGGGATACAGGGGGAAGAAATTTGGCAATGGGAACATCTGATGGGAAATAGATCAAGATCTCCCTGGTGCTGTTGCCTCTCCACTCCCAACTGTCCCACACAAAGTGACTTTTCTGTCTTTAAATGTTAAGGTTGACAACCTCCAGGTGGAGCCTGGAGATCTGCCAGAATTACGACTCATCTCCAGACTACAGGGATAAGTTCCTGTGGAGAAAATGGCTGCTTTGGAGGGTGGACTCTGTGGCATTACATCCTCCCCCTCCCCAAATCCTACCCTCCTCAGGCCCCACCCCTAAATCTCCAGGCATTTTCTAATCTAGGGTTGGCAACCCGATTAGAGGCCCTGTCCAGTGTTCCCTTTAAGCCTCCGGCTCCTACATTTTTGTCTCAGCTCCGGAAGGATGGCTCCAGAGCAAACTAATTTATGCAGCAGCCAAATCGCTTACTCACAACTTTAATGCCAGCAGCTCACAAAGTAGCATTTTCGCTCACAAGACTCCACAGCTTAGAGGGAGCGTTGGCCCTGTCATACCACCATTACTTGCAAATTGGAAGGGCACAGAATGGACCTTTCATGGCGTCATGCCAGCTGTGTCTTCCAGGGAGCAATTCTGGAAAGAATTCAGAAAGCTCTAGGACTTAACAGAGCTGTGAAAGGCAAAAAGCTCTCTTGAGGCTATCAGTTAGCAGCTCTGAGAAGAGAGTCTTGACTCACTAGACAAAGTGCACTCCACATTCGGTGACTAGCTGTAATGCTGGATGGTTTTGAACTGTGTTGGCGAATAGTCTTCCCTCTCCAGTTTTTGTGGATGTTTGTATTATGTTCATGCCCTGAACTTTTAGGCCCAAAATGTTTAACTGATCAAAAAACTTTTGATCTATTAAAAAGATGCCTTCAATTGAGTAAGCAGTCGGGAATGTTGTTGTTGATATTATTATTTTGCATTTTTTAGAAACTCAAGTACGCACGAAAATTGCAGGAAGCCGATGCCATCTTATAAAAGGCCCTCCTTCCCTTTTCAGGCATAGGAGAAAATGCCTTTTCCACGATTCTGTTGCCTTCAGTGACATGTGCTCCTGTCAACTAATAACAAAGAACATATGCGCTTTTCTTTAGATATATTGTTCCACAAATGTACACAGTGTACAAATGTATGCAGTCATTAACACATATACTGTCAATCAGTGAAGATGTTCTGAGTTTAGTGCTCTATCCTGTGGTTTTGCTTCGTGGGCTCTGAACAGCTTCCATGAAGTGTCCCAGAAACCTCCCATCTTGGCAGAGCCAAAGTTCTTTCACAAGCCTGAGCCACAGAAAGGTGCTCTGTGCCTTTCAGAAAGTCTCTTCAGAATACCAACCATTATTCTACTGCTCATAAGAGGGGGGGACATCTGGGTCAGATCCACTGACAACTGTCCAATGGCTGAATGTTTGTGTTTGTTTTTCCAGAATTTTCTTTCGAAGCAGTGGTACGGAGAGATCTCCAGAGACACTAAAAACTGGAAGATCATTCTGTGCCTTTTCCTTTTCCCTTTAATAGGGTGCGGCTTCATCTCCTTCAGGTAAATTATTTTCCGTTAGCTGGATTGTTTTTAAAGAAAAATAAAAATGATTCCTGAACAGCTTTTACTGTTTTTTTTGTAAGTGTGTGTGCGTGTGTGTGAGAGAGAGAGTGTTTTCATGCTGCCGTCTTCCTTCCAGGTTTGCTTCCAAGTAGACCATTCCAAGTGTTTAAAGAGTTTGCTGTAGTTATATTGGTACTAGGGTTGCCAGGTCCGGGTT